TCCAAAATCCTCAGAGGTGTCAATCAATTTGTGTTGCAGTAGTGTAAGTTTAAAAGAGACCCAACTAGCAGCTAACTCAGCTGTGCAACTAAAGGGTGGCAGAAACATTTAATTATATATGCCTTTAATCTCGTGTTGTTTAAAAATGTGTTATTTCCGAGTCAACTTGTACTTTTGCAGCTGTACTTGCAGTTTTTGACATGCCACTCTCAGCAAAGACACTCTTTATGTTCTTCCTCTCATGCAAACCCACCCCAATGGTGTTCCCTGCCCTGGAGCAACAGCAGGAGTCTTGGCATGGCTCCAGTGGATCTTTCTCTTTATAAAGAAGGAGTGAGCATCTCTGAGTCTTTCATTCTTTTCTCACAGAATGACTGCTACCTCTGCTGGTGCACAGTCAGTAAGATAACTGTCCATGCTAATGTCTTTTTCAAAATTCAAGGAATACTAGAAACTGAAGCGTGTTTAAAACAGGTTGGATTGAAAATCCCTTTTTTAAATTTTTTTTTTTTTTTATTACAGTTTACTTATTTTGTTGTCATCGATCTGATTTGATGTTTAACAGCTGACTGTGCAAATATGCAAAGCTGATTGATTTTGCGTCTTTGTGGCTCTTTTTGTCCAGGAGTTAGGATGCTTCCTTCTTTAACAACAGTGCTGCTGGTCACATTACTGTCCAGGATCTCAGCTCAAGACTTTTATGAAGAGAGGAAAACTGACAGGAAATTGAGGGCCAAGACGGTGGCTGCAAATATTCATGATGGTCAAGGTGAGAAAGTTACTGAAAATGACAAAAAAAAGTAACAATTCTAGCATCATTTCCTTGTTTGTGTTCTCCAATATAACTTAATTCAGCTCCAGAAAATGTCCTCCTTACCCTGACTCTACCATTCTACATTTAGTTGTGCACATTTTTAGGCTTGTTAGTCATTCATTGGTAAATGTATCTTTTGTGTTCACAGCTATCTTGGATGAGGACTGTAGCTTGGAGCTGTCCTTTTTGTTGGACAGCTCTGAAAGTGCAAAAGACAATCATGAGCGGGAAAAGCAGTTTGCGATGGACATGGTGGACAGACTCCAAGGTGCAGGGCTACCCACCGGCCGCAGGTTGAGCTCAAGGGTTGCTCTGCTGCAGTACAGCAGTCACGTTATCAAAGAGCAAACCTTCAGAAACTGGAAAGGGGCGGAGGACTTCAGGAACCGGATCACCCCCATAACTTATATTGGACATGGCACCTATACCACCTACGCCATCACCAACATTACACAGATCTACCAGGAGGAATCCAGACCTGGAAGCATTAAAGTAGTGGTGTTGCTCACAGATGGCGTCTCCCACCCAAGAAACCCAGACATTTTTTCTGCTGTTGCTGACGCCAAAAACCAGGACATCAAGTTCTTCATCCTGGGCATCACCCGGGCAGCCAATGAGCCAGCCAATGTAGCCGAGCGCCGCCTTCTCGCCAGCTCCCCGGCCTCCCGCTTTCTCCACAATCTACAGGATGAGAACATAGTGGAAAAGATCTTCACTGAAGCGGTGAGTATGATGTCTTGTCTTTCAGCCGACAACACATAAAAATGTGATTGATTTAAACTTTAACAGGCATCTCTTCTGGTTTTAGAGTGTGTTTATGTAGAGATAAATGTCAGACAATGCTCAGGAGAAAGACATGAAAAATGAGCTTGACAGATATGGATTTAAGCGTTATCAATAGATTTATTGAACATTGGACATACTATGTGAGATACTTATCTAAGATTTATATTGTTGTTTTAAATTGTTCGTTATATACCCAAAGTAACTGGTTCAAAATCTAAAATATGTTTGCTTTTCTTTGCAGACTTCATTAGCGGATGAAGGCGTAAGTGCTAAAGCAAACATTTGCTCGTGGACTTTTGATGTGTGGCACAATGTAATTAGGTTTAACAAGCATGTCTCCTGTTTTCAAAGTGTCCTCTGGCTCAAAAATGTGCATGTGAGAAAGGAGAACGGGGGCTCAGCGGGCCTGCGGTGAGTATTCAATCTTCAGTTTGTTTACCTACCAGCTGTGAAACATGATTTTCATCCATCAAATTATCACTAAATGACCCCAACATGTCTGGGTGAAGCTATTTGTACATGGTTGCTCATAATGAAGCTTAAATTCAGCCCCTCCCTCAGTCAGTCTCTCAGGCAGACATCTCTGTGACCAGGTGCCTTCACCTGGGAGCGATTCTTTACATTCCTACTCTCAGACAGAGGAGCTCACATAATTGCTCTCATTAGTTTAACGGCTAGACCACTTCTGGTGACTAGACATAGACGTGGTCCAGGTGCAGCTCAGGACAGTGACTGCTGGACCTGCATATGTGAAACCTCAACTTTTCTTTCATTAACAGCAATTCTGACATCCAACAATAACCTTTTCCCCTCAGTCAGTCTCCAACAGAATAAAACAAGCTTTCACTCACTTTGTTAGACTTGGACCAGACAAGTTTAAATTTACAGGTATCGGGTCAGAGCGTTACATGTTCTTGTCTTTCTAGCGCTGTCCAACAAGATAACTAAATGTCAAACACAGAAATGTCCATCAATTTTTAACCTCGATTTTGTTTCTTTCTTCAGGGTAAAAAAGGTCGCCCAGGTGACGATGGAGCTCCAGGGCAGAAAGGTCAAAAGGTGTGTGTCTTGGATGGGTAGATGTTGTGAAAATCACAGCTGGCAGTTTTTGAGTAGCTATTCAATCCCTATGTATGTCTCACTTGTAAAGTTCTTTAGATTCTTATAGGTGAGTTTATGTGGACTCTCTTACATCGTTATTGTTAGTCTCTTAAGTAGGCCTGTCGCAATAAACAATAAATCAATTAATCGCATGATAAATGAAAATTATCAACCTCATTTTCATTTACTGGTTTTATCGTTTCTTCGTGTCTCTTTCAGTACTGAAGACACTGATGACAAAAAGTTCAACTCCGGTGCTCTTCACTGAGCACTCCCTTTCTCTTTTCGCTTTAAAATCTGTTTTAACCATCCAAAATCACATTGTTGGATCGTTGACAGCAGCTAAGCTGAGCAGTTAATCTATGAGCTGAGCTAACAGGCCGACCTCGTGGAAAAAACTCTGTCTTGTCAAAGCTCCATTATTCACGGTTGAAGCCCGTGCCTTCGAGTAAAAAGTTGTTTTTCTCTGTAAAAGAAAATGAGAACTTGTTTAGTGATTTTTTATTGAAAGTTTTGTGTGAAAAATGCTATGCTAAAGAGCTCAAACCACACTGAGCGTCGGCCATTTTGAGAACTGAAGAGAGACAGCCCATGTCACGTCAAGGGGCCTCCCTCCCATTTTTCTTAGAGACACTCTGCTCGCTCCCTCACTATCCATCCTTCAGTTCGAACTGTCTTATACTGCCATCTTGTGGTCGAAAAATGTACTACATGCAAAACAAATTCAATATTTCATCCTAAATTTGACAATTATTACTAATTATTGTCAAATTTCAAACAATATTATCGTTTATCACAATAATTTTTTAGATAATTAATGGCCCAACAAAATTTGTTATCGTGACAGGCCTACTCTTAAAATCAATACTTATATGCCTACTCACAATGTGACTTTGGATGGAAGGATACACTTTAACCCTATTTATAGTTACAATAAGCACAGCTGATGGAAAAACTAGTTGTTAGGAACATAAACATAGTTTAGAAATTCTTACTGAGATAATCGATCAAGTGAAAGTTTTTCTGAAGCACTTCCTGTACTTGAATTTTGGTTTCTCCTTGCAAGTCGCCCTCGGCTGGTTGTTAGAAAGAATGCGGGTTAAATGTACTTCTACATCACTGCATACGTTTTCTGAAGAATTGTAAAGTTGTGGGATTTTTAGTAATTAATGCCATATACAAATAGTTATTTCTAGTTTTGTTTTAGCATGCTTTGACACAGATGTGGCTGCATTCATTCTGCTGATTTACACGCACTTTAAATGTATACATACAGAAGTGCAGCTTTTTAAAATAAAATTATGTTTGAAAAAGGTGGTAAATTGTGCACTGGACATGTGCAACTAACTGGAATTAAGACTAATTCAAATAAAAACTTTATAGCGTTATAAAAGATTGTCAAGGCAAAATGACAGAAATGCACAAATGGGTGCTATAAAAACTCTTTCTAGAGTTCCTAGATTTAAGTCATGTATTGATTAAAGTTTAATATTTTATTTTGTTGTGTTTAGATAAAATCATCTTCTTAATAAATGGTGAATAAAGTATGGAAAACAAGCTGATGTGTTTTGCATTTGGAAAAACTGATTATTTTTCCTTCTATCTTTAGGATTCTTTTTAATCTTTTATCTCTTGTTCTTCAGTATAAATAAATTTTTACAATCGTTCACACATTTTATGCATTTATTAATTTCCTTTAAACTTGTTTATACATTCTAAACTCACCACAATAACAGGGAATGATTTGTATTATTTGATGTAAAGACTATTTTGTGTATTTTTATTGTTTTATCTGTGTATTTTTTTTTTTCCTACAGGGTGAGGCAGGATTAAGTGGAGTACCTGGGCGTGAAGGCACTGAGGTAAATACCCAATGACCAAAATTAGGAATACTCACTACTGATTTTGTAGTTTGTTGACACATAAAATCTATTTGTGCTTGTAGGGGAAGCCAGGTTACACAGGAGAGAAGGTACAAACTATTCTTGACAAATGACATGTTCTTTTCTTGGCCACTTTTTTTTTTTTTTGTCTATACTAAACCACATTTGTGTGCAGGGAGAGAGGGGTGAATGTGGCACCCCAGGAATCAAAGGAGACAGGGTATGACATTTGTTTCTGATGTTACAAATGATATTTCATGTTGATAACTGCTCTCTGAGTTTACAAGGATTTGTGTATTTATTTCCTGTGTGATTGGCTTCAGGGCCCTGGGGGTCCCGCTGGGGTACGAGGACAAAGAGGTCTGCAGGTTGGTAACAGCTATTGAGTTTGGAGAATTTTTAAATATTTTTAAGGTATAAAGGCGTAAATTTGAAATTGAACATTTAAAACTTGAAGTAGAATATCCACCCATCCATTATCTTTTACCAGCTTTTTCCTTTTTTGGGTCACGGGGGTCACTGGTTCCTGAGAAAAACAACCATTCACTCTCTCACTCTCACCTAGGGACAATTTTGAGTTACCAGTGAACCTAACATGCATGTTTTTGGTCTGTGGGAGGAAACTGGAGTACCCAGAGAAAACCCACGCATGCACGGAGAGAACATGCGAACTCCACCCAGAAAAGTCCCCAGCCAGGATTTGAACCGGCGATCCTTCTCTCTGAGAGGCAACAGCTTTACCAACTGATCCACCATGCTGCCCCTGAAGTAGAATATAGCAAAGTCAAATATTGCTTTTTATTATTAAAGAACAACTGGTTCTAATTGCAGGCATTACTTCACTCGGTCCCGACTTGTATAGTCAACATTTATATCTATGAAATGATCACTTTATCTCAAACAGGGAGGCATTTTAACACTGATGTTCACATCTTCATAATGAATGGCTGTATGATGTTTCTGCTCAGGGGTTACCAGGACCACAGGGAGACATCGGACCGGAGGGCCCTCAGGGAAAGCAGGTCAGCAGCTTTTACCGTCCTCATCCTTCACGTTCTGCTGGGACCTTGACGTTTCCTTCTGCAATAAGTTTGAACAAAGGCTACAGCCTTTACCACCTTGGTTTTAAGCCTACAGCAACATTTTTGTGTGCTTGAAGAACCCCGTGCAAACAACTGGCAAACAGCCAAAGCCTCCCCATCATAAAAATAAATCCTCTCATGACAGGTTCTCCTGTAACTACAGTAAATAAAGACTGAGAAGTGCCTACAGCATTGTCTGCCTCACAAACACAATTTGCAGTCAGTAACATACATGGAAAGTCTGTGTCTCTCACCATGTAAGGACCTGTAAGCAGTATTTGCACAGGATGACACAAGTCTTGGTACCCATATAGTACAATTTATGTCATATCCTTTCAAAGGGAAATTCCCGTAATATCAGTCATAAAATCTTTATTCATGCACTGTACATATACATATTGTAACATAAAAAGGCTAGTTATAACGACTTTTTAACTTTATCTTTTGGTAGCTACTCAAATTCTAAAGCAAAAACACAGTAATTGTTTCAGACCTTATCACAATAAAGCTTATAACTCATTTTTTGGTCCTTTCACATATTTCAGAAGCAAAAAGACTGATCTGATCTGCAGCACAAACAACAACAACCTTTATTTTTATTTATTTATTTATTTTTGCATAAAAAGAGCATTTTTTTTCTTGTTCCCATGCCGTTTTCAGCGTATATTTTAATTATTTCTAATAGTAACAAAATTACATTTTTTAGGTTTTTATTCTAGAACGGTGAGGAAAAAAACAAAACAATTGTGAGTAAGATGATTCAATTAATTACTTGCGAGCCAGCATAAACAGAAATATTGTTGTTGTTTTTTTTGTTTGTTTGTTTTTTGTGTGTTTGTTTTCCCAAACTCCCAATTTTTTCTTTATCTGAAACTTTGTGTGCCTAACAATTCTACACAAGAACCAGAAT